AACTATGCCAAATGCTTTTACAGTCGTGATCCAGGTCATTCCACACAACAATTCTATGAAACATGGATTACTCTATATGGATGTGGTAATAGAGGTTTGGAGACTTTACATAGATTGTCAAGGATAAATATGAATATAGCTGATAAATTATGGAGTTGATTCTTTGTTGTTGTTGTTTTAAGATTTATTTATTTATTTGAGAAGCAGAGTTCCAGACAGAAAGAGGGAGAGACAGAGAAAGGTCTTCCATCCACTGGTTCACTCCCCAAATGGCTGCAGTAGCTGGACTTGAGCCCATCTGAAGCCAGGAGCCAGGAGCTTCTTCCGGGTCTCCCACACGGGTGCAGGGGCCCAAGCACTTGGACCATCTTCCACTGCTTTCCCAGGCCATAAGCAGAGAGCCAGATTGGAAGAGTTGCAGCTGGGACATGAACCAGTGCCCATATGAGATGCCTGCACCACAGACAGAGGCTTAGCCTGCTATGTCACAGCACTGGTCCCTGGAGTTAACTCTTTTTGGAGACCTCTTTGACTCTACCTATTGTGTTTCCCTACAGAGGAAGATAGTCCAAAGGGGTGTGTGTGTGTGCGCACCCCTGCACGTGTGAGAGTTTAAAGTGTGAATGACCTAGCTAGTGGTCATTGAAAATGCAGAAGGGGTAGCTATTAGGTGGACTCCCCGATAGCCAAGGAGAGAATTGGGTTAGGATGTCACGGCAATGGAGAGTGGGAACACCCTTTGATTGTAGTAAGAGGATAAAAGAAAAAGGATGGGTACCTGTGTTGGTGAGGAAGGGAAAGCCAGACAAAAACTGGAAGCCTCCTCCTCTTCTTAACGAGACACAGGAAAAATGGGAGACAGACTTAACTATGTAAACACCAGATTACTGGGTAGACTTGAAGCCATGAATTTTCAAGGACACCAACATGGGGATCTTCAAGAGAATGTGGGAGAAAACATTTGTTTAGACAGTTCCAAGGTTGAGATTTTTCTAGATGGGAGAAACAGAGAGCTAGGCTTTATAATGTAACTCATTCTCAGTTTTCCTTCTACCTGGTTAAATTCCTTTAAAGAGAGAGAGTGTGTAACTTCAATTTTCATTGGAGCTCAAAAGGCTAAAAGTGTATGGGTAAAACAACTTGATTGAGAATCAGTTCTCTTTATGATTTCAAGATTGGAGTTCCTAAGATCATTGCATATGGGTCATCTAAGATTACTGGCTTAAATAGTCAGAAAAGCATCTCAAACAGGATGTTCCGGTGGACAGAAGTCAGGGTTCTTAGTCACTTGAAATGAGACACTTAAATTCATTATTACCAGTACCTTTCCAAATCACTCCAGTTGCTTCACGTTTGATGATTTTAAAGATATTTAAAAAGATTTGTTTATTTACTTGAAAGGCAGAGTTACAGAGAAGAGGGAGAGATAAAAAGAGAGACAGAGATTGATCTTTTATCCATTGATTCATTCCCCAAATGGCTGCAATGGCCAGAGCTGGGCCAGGTTAAAGCCAAGAGCCCGGAATTCTATCCATGTCTCCGATGTGGGTAGGAGGGGCCCAAGCACTTGGGCCGTCTTCTGATGCTTTCCCAGGTGCATTGGCAGGGAGCAGGATAGGAAGTGGAGCAGCTAGGACTTGAGCTAGCTCTCATATGGGTTGCCAGTGTTGCAGATGGTAGCTTAACTCACTGTGCCACCACATAGGCCCCTTGATGATTTTTTTAAAAATGTTTATGTAGGCTTTTTGAAAATCTTTTAAATCATCAAATTGAAAATGAAAGTGTCATTCATCTGGGCCCACATCCGGCTAATTTACTTGGGTAAGGTAGGTTTGCCCTACCTTTGAAAACTTTTATGCCCTCTTTCCCAGTAGTTACCTCTCTTAACTTTGTTTTCATGTTCAAATGTATTGGCCAGCTTTTCCACAATGATGCTAACCAGTCCTTGTCTGGTTTTTGACTTGAATTTTTTGAAATTTTATCGGTAAGCATGATGCTGTTTTCATCCTGAATTTCATAAAACGCTTTTTATAGAATTCCATAGAAATGCTTCTATAGTAATCAAGTTTTTTTCTTTTTTGACCACTTAATATAGTGGAGTCCTGATAGATTTTCTTGTATTGAAACACTGCCTTTCTGCAGGCATACCTACTTGATCTTTGAGTGATGTTGTTTTATTTTGTATTTTTGCATCTATTTATGTGAAATTTGCTTTTATTATTGTTTATGATGAGCTTTTGTATCTATATTAAATACATTGGTTTTGTGAATACACTGATATCACACTTATGCTGTAGGCTAGACCAATTTAAAAAGCATCTGATTTACTATTTCCTTAAAATTTCTTAAGATTCTTGCAATTGTGTTAGCTTTTAGACTCTTTTCTAGTTGTCCATTGGTACAGTTTTTTCTTGGATTCGTTTTCATTATACATGTGTTTCTAGACAATTATACATTAAATTAGGTTTATAAATATTGCCATGAGTTTTTCATAGTAAGTTTTAAATTATAATTTATTTTCCATTCAATTTGTAGATCATGTCTGCCTCTTATCCTTCATTTTCTGTATTTGTGCCTTGCCTTTTTTCCCCTTTTTTCTTAGTTGGTGGTAGTTTTATTTAATTTGCTATCATGCTATATTTTTAAAAACAAGTAATTACTGGGGCAAGTTTTGTGGTTCAGTGGGTTAAATTCCTGCCTGCCACACTCACCTCCCATGTGAGCACTGGTTTGAATCCCAGTTGCTCCACTTCCTATCCAGGTCCTTGCTAATGCACCTGGGAAGGCAGTAGAAGATGGCCCAAGTCCTTGGCCCTTGCCACCCACATGGGAGACCCTAATGGAGTTCAGGGCTCCTGCTTTGGCCTGCCCCAGCTCTGGCTATGTGGCCATTTGTGTAGTGAATCAGCAGGTGAAAGATTCTCTCTCTGTAAATCTCTAAAACTCTGCCTTTCAAATAAATAAATAAATCTTTAAAAAATTAGGTAATTACTGAGTCATGATTTTCTATCTTTATTGTAATCAAATCTTTTCTTCCACTCTTGCTGTTTCTTCTTGTTTCCCTTTGTACTTGAGTTAGATGTTTTATTCATTTAATATTATGATTTCTTGGTTTATAATAAAATATTATTATTCAATTTATAATTCTCATAGAGCTCTGAAATTTCCTCTAAGTACTGCTCTTTTTTATATTTATTGAATTTCTTTTTTTTTTTAAAGACTTAATTATTTATTTGAAAGTCAGAGTTAAACAGAGAGAGGAGAGGCAGAAAGAGAGAGAGGTCTTATATCTGCCAGTTCACTCCCCAGTTGGCTGCAATGGTCAGAGCTGTGGCGATCTGAAGCCAGGAGCCAGGAACTTGTTCCTTGGGTGCAGGGGCCCAAGGACTTGGGCCATATTTCACTGCTTTCCCAGGCCATAGCAGAGAGCTGGATCGGAAGTGGAGCAGCCAGTACTGCAGGCGGCGGCTTTATCTGCTATGCCACAGTGCTCACCCCTGAAATTTCCTCTAAGTACTGCTTTTATCAAATTCAACATTTAAATATGTAACATACTTAATGTCACATTCTGCGATTGAGTTTTCTTTTCTGTTTATCCCAGAAATTATTTAAGAGACTGTTAAAAAAATTCCCCAAGTATTTGGAATTTTTGCTTCCTTTTCAGTTTAAGTAGAAATTAAGACTTTTCCTGATTTGTAATATGCTATCTCTGAATTCTGGCACTACAGATTTTTGTAAACCTCTACAGACACTTGAAACCTTTGAAATGTCCCTCATATGCTTGGAATAGAAATATGTTTTCTATTTGAGGACATAGAATGTGAAATATATCTCAACTCATTTTTTAAATTATTTCAATTGTGTCCTTAGTTGTCTATCTCCATTTAATCTGTTAAGTGCTTCTGCCTATTTTTTGGTATATTTTGCAATTTTTTTATTTGTTTCCGTGAAAGGCATGCCTATTCATAATAAATCTTCATTGTGAGTTGTGTTCAAGTGTTGTTCTTCACCATCTTGAAGCTTGTTGTATGTCGAATCTAACCATGAATAATATTAATCCTGAGCCCTGCTTTCTTTGGTCTTTGACCAAATTATTGTTGTTTTCACACTTTCGGTGTCATTTTGCTATATGGGTGTCTCTTTCAAACCAAAAACAATTTGGTTTTGTTTTAAAATCACACTGGGGATATTTTCCCTAGAAGAAATTAGCCAATTCACATTTATTGAAATAATATATACACTTGATTGTAATTCATTTTATGCATTTTCCTTTATATTTCTGTACAGTTTCCTTTGTCCTCTATATTTTCGTTAATTCTCTCTCTCTCTCTTTTTTTTTTTTTTTTGACAGGCAGAGTGGATAGTGAGAGAGAGAGACAGAGAGAAAGGTCTTCCTTTTGCCGTTGGTTCACCCTCCAATGGCCGCCCCGGCTGGCGCACCGTGCTGATCCGAAGGCAGGAGCCAGGTGCTTCTCCTGGTCTCCCATGCGGTGCAGGGCCCAAGCACTTGGGCCATCCTCCACTGTACTCCCCGGCCACAGCAGAGAGCTGGCCTGGAAGAGGGGCAACCGGGACAGAATCCGGCGCCCCGACCGGGACTAGAACCCGGTGTGCCAGCGCCTCTAGGTGGAGGATTAGCCTATTGAGCCGCGGCGCCGGCTAATTCTCTCTTGATAGTAATGAAAAACAATATTATCTGTTTTTATTTTTATTGCTAATTAAATTTTTAACTTTAATTAATGTGCCTATATATCTATTTAGAGATTTATTAACCTCAGAATGAAACAGTATCACCTATTTATTTATGGCCTGCTGTGAAAATTGAGACTATTCACCCACATATATTTATCCCCTAGTGGCTCTACATGCCCACCTCTTTATTTTGTCGTTATGCCTAAAGATTTTTTTTCTTTTTGCAATCCTGTATACTTCCACATTTATTATTATGGAACAGTTAATGGTTATTATAATTATTACGCTGAAGAGATGGTAATATTGATATGCAAGCATTATAAATTATTTGATCTTAGTTCTCCATGTACGTGGATTTGGTGTTCCCATCCTCTGCTTATCTCTAACTTGCCTGTTGTCGAGATCAGGATTTTCAACCTGCTCTTGATTGGATGTACTATACATCACTTAGTAGATTGTGCAAAAGAGTTGCTCATGTGTTGTACTCTGTGAGTATCCCTTTCCTAAAATGCTTTTCTCACACTTTTATACATGATTGGAAATGAATACTTGGATCTTATTCCCTGTTTCTCAGCCCCTGATAAACACTGCTTCACGTTTTCTGTCATTGTGTGTTACTGTGAGTTAGAAGCATCTTTCTCCCCTTAATTAATTTTAAGTGTCTTAATGTTAATAGAATCTGACTTCACCAAGATGTCTCAATTTGGATGATTCTGTATCTTTCCCGGGACATTGGATATTCCTTTATTCCAACAATTTTCTATCATAAATTTCAGCATATTTCGTTTTGGCTTTGTTTTGTTTTGTTGTGCTTCTAGAATGCCTTTTATCTGTATGTTGGATCTCTGTTTTCAAACTTTCTCATCTGTCATCTTCTCCACTTGCTTTCATCTACTTGTCCTTTTCCTCTGCATTTTGTGCAGTTTTTTGAAAACTGCTTTCCACATCATCCACTTTGCTCTTGCTTTGTGGGTACCACCTCTCATAACTTTAATATATTTACTGGTTCTGCAGTGATTTTGTTTTTGTCTTCAGTTGCTTTCTTCAATTGCCAGCTTCCCTTTCATCTCATCCTGATGTCCTATCATTGCATCTTTGATCTCTTCTGTCATAGAATCTCTGCTAATTGTTGAATATGATTTCCTTCTGTGTCATGTTCCTTCTGAATAGATTGTAGATTGGTTTTTCCATGATATTTCTGTCCCCTTTTCTCTCCTCTCAGTCCATTTTTGTTTTCTAAGTTTCGTCTCTTAGATTCAGATGTAGCTATCAGAACTTTCTCTCAGCCTTCAGATAATACGGGTCCTATATCTAAATCTCCGCCTCGATCCCTGTGTAATTTGGCTTCCAGAACCAGAGTTTGAGTCCCAGTGCTTTGTCTTTCTTCTGCAGTCAGTCCTTCATCGATTTAAAAGGACCCTGGTTGTGTTCCTGGGCAGGATTCAGTTGATGACTTTTATCTTTAAACTCTCCAATGCTGAGTTTTAAGTCCCTCTTTTGATTTGAGGACCCTATATGTCTGTTGATTAGGTGTAGCCAAAGCCTTTTCTAGTTCTGTTTATATTTTTCCTCCAGCCAAGCCTTGTTTGCAGTTTAAAATAATTAGTCACTATTTTTTTCTTGATCTCTTGGTGAGTTTAAAGCATACATATTATTTTGAGAGATTTGTGTCTTTAGATGTTGGTTCTGACTGAGTGTTTGGCTGTGCACTTTAGCTTTAGTGCAACAGTCAAATGACTTATCCAAGTTTGGAGATATTCTCTATTAAGATTTTGTCATGAAAGTTTCCTGTCATAGAGCAGTCTAGAATCTTGTGGATTTAACCAACTCAGTATTTACTAGATAAAATTCTATGATTCTTTCCTCTGTGGATTGCCATGTCTTGCTTTGGAATATCAAGGACACCAGTCATGACTGGTTCTGAAATTATTAAGGGAAATGAGTATCAGTATTAGCGTTGCATTGGCCATAATATTCATTCTTTCAAGGACAATAATTTTCTTTTATGAGTGTATTCTCAATTGCTTTTGATGCTGGATGTGCAACTTGGTATTTTCCCCTTAATTGCTATATAAGAAGATAAATATTTGCAAACATTAATCTTCCATGCTCTTTAAGGACTGTATAGCTATATTGTATTCATCCAATCCACAGCACTTAAAAGTAGGCTTCCAGACGAAGGGGTTACTCCTGGTCTAACTGGTGGTCTCAGAGACATACATACAGGAAGGAAAGGAATAATCATACAGGAAGGAAAATTGAGCTTGGTTTTAAAACTTGAGCAGGAATCAGAACTAGCCTCCAGGCTGTTAAACCTGGTTGTTAGTTGTTAGGCCTCCCCAATAGAGTTTGTCATTCAGGTTTGAAATGGAACCTGAAAATTTGCATTTCTAACAAGTTCTTAGGGGTTGCTGGTACTGCTGCCTTGGGGACCAGAAATTGGGAACCATTGTCTTAAAAGATGACAATTATTGGGGCCTTTAAAATGTGGAAAGAAATATTCTACATGAAGGAAAAAATGGAACCAAACCGAGAGACCTTAACAGTCTCCTGTTTGCTAAGCTCTTCAGAATGATGGTGGACCCTTTATGGGAAAATATTTAAAATGCTAAAGTTGATTCCCAGGCATTCTGATAAATTTTAGCTTTTTTATATCCAGCAAATTGATATAGATACCTACCAGGAACACAGATAGATAAATACATAAAGGGTAAATTAATATATTAGTAAATGCAAAAAGATATCCTAAGTTATGGTTGGTTTCAGAATGCAATATATAAAATATTGGTGGAAAATGAAGTTAAAAGGTAAGTTTATGTTGGTGTAAAAACTTTTTTAATGATTTATTTATTTATTTGAAAGAATTACAGAGAGAGAGGGAGAGACAGAGAGCAAGCCAGCTTCCATTCAGTGGTTCACTCCTCAAATGGCCGCAACAGCCTGGGCTGGCCAGGCCAAAACCAGGAGCCAGGAGCTTCTTCCAGTTCTCCCACATGGAGCCCAAGTATTTGGGCCATCCTCCACTGCTTTCCCAGGTGCATTAGCAGGGAGCTGGATCAAAAGTAGAGCAGCTGGAACTCGAACTGGCACTCATATGGGATGCCATCCCTGTAGACAGTGGCTTAACTCATTAACTTGATGTGCCCCAGCACTGGCCCCAAGTGCAAAAAATTTTGAAATGCACCCATAATTTTTTTTCATAATATTGCACATTCCATGAACTTTGTGAAGGTCCCTCCTGTAATTGGAAGTGAAATCTGCTATCAACAATACTCTGGTATTATTGTTCAGAGCCACATACTAGATCTTCTAGAAGGAGGCTGGCTTCCCTGCCAGGCATCTGTAGGACTGACGACTTTTCTCTGTTCCATTTTACATGAACTGACCCTGATGTTTCCAGATACCCCTAAGGCTCATTCAGCCAGACTCTTCAGTGACTTTGTTGGCTGTGCACATTTTCCGTAAGAAACAAGACGATGTTTCTCAGGGGGTAGATTTGGCAGGCATAAAGCTACTACATAACCTTGTTCTGATTCCATGAGGTTGGATTCTGAAGAAAGATAATTCAATGTTATAGCTCTTGTTCTTGCGTGTATACCTTTGTCAGCAACTTTCAGTCTTCCAAATGTGCTTCCAAAGTCTGAACACACTGCTTGCATGCCTAAGAAGTTCTTTGAACAAACTGCAGACAATGGATTTTGTACCTTTTCAGTTAACTCTCCGGAGTGTGAATCCAGAGCAGAGGAAACACTGGGAGTTACACTGGAATCGGCCCCCCAGTGAAGAAAGAGACTTATTACTAAGAATGTGTGGTGCAGAGACTTTAAGTCTGAATAGTCTTTGATACACTGAACAACATTTATGGAGTGTCTCAACTACTGATCTCCCTTCTCCAATTATGGAATTCAATAAACATTTTTTTTTTCTGGCATCAAAGATTTTGTGTTCCAGAAGGCTTGGGCAGGTGATGTTACTTGAGATTCTGATTTTTTTCGCATCTGAAAAATGAGATGCTGGGCCAGGTTGAGCTGTGTGATCTTTAAAGATCTCCTCTCTAGTGGACATTTTCAGCCTGACCAAGGTTATTTCAGAGCATTTCTTTTTTGATTTGAAGACGGCACAAGTTATATGTGGTTTCAGTAGTTTGTAGGGATGCTAAGGAGAGAAAATTCTGCTTCTAGTTAATTCTGTTATACCTACCTCTACGATAGCATTTGGGTCGAATTCTTCCTAGGGCTTTCCAAAATGCTTTGCAAGCCAAGAGCAGAAAGGTTTGGAGGGCCGGTATTGTGGCGTAGCAGGTAAAGCTGTCATCTGACGCTGGCATCTCATATGTGTGCCCATTTAAGTCCCAGCTGCTCCACTTCAATCCAGCTCCCTGCTAATGGCCTGGGGAAAGCAATGGAAGATGGCCCAAGTGTTTGGGCCCTTGCACCCATGTGAGAGACCCACAAGAAGCTCCTGGCTCCCGAATCTTGGCTTCGGCTTGGCGAAGCCCTGGTCACTGCGGTCATATGAGGAGTGAACCAGAGGATGAAAGATCTCTCTTCCTCTCTCTCTTTCTCTCTCTCTCTCTCTCTCCCTCTTTGTGTCTCTTTCCCTTTTTCTCTGTAACTCTTTCAAATAACTAACTACATAAGTAAAACGAATGGAAAAGTTTTTGTGGAGAGAAGGAGACCAAGAAGTGTCAAATGTAGCCATAGATAATGACCCCAGGTATTATCTCAGCATGATGAATACAAGGGTGGAACAGTGCAGCCAGAGGACCTGGGTGCTGAGGAAAAGGAGGATGACTGTCTACTTAAATATCAAGAATAAGTGAGAGCTTACAATTTCTCGTATCCCCGTAGTCAACTAATCATCGTGATGTGGATTCCTTAGCCACATTAGTTGTGGTGGGAAGTGTCATACAGTACTAAATTTTGTTTTGTTTTGCTTTTCTGGTCTTGGAGGCTTTCAGGAATTGCTTGGGTTCCTAAGCATTTCATTTGAATTGGTGCCATTGCTTCATTTTCTCCTGGAAAGCAGGCATGCATACAGTTAGTCATTCATACCACAAATCTCATCAGGGCCAGACCTGTGCTGGGCCCTGGGGACATAGAACAAAAAGGAACACATTACTTGTCCTCTGAAAAGTGATTTTGAGTAGCCTGGAGCTCCATCGCTTAGAAAGAAGATAGCTTTACACATTGGATAAAAGAAAATATGCATTGTGTTTTTAATAGAAATTTTAGTTGGAGGCCACATGCTGAGTGTAGAACTTGATCACTTTTAATGACATTGGACCCTTGCTTACAAACCCCATAGGGTCATCAACAATTCAAGGCCATTTCACTTAAGGAAAGACCAGTTACATGCCTTCCTTCATCTTGGGTTTTTCCTGAAAGATTTTTGGTAAGACACCCAAATCTGAAAAATAAAACTGAAAACCTGTGGTATCATATGCATAGGCTCTGCTAATCAGTTAGAACCACTGAATCCTAAGGTCTTGATGTTGGGAGAGAACTTCTTGATTATCTGATCCAGATATTCCTCAGACAGGACCCCAGGAAGGGATTGTAAAGGCAGACGGGTTATGTTCAGAGACGAAAACCCTGGAGATCATTTGTGACACAGTTTCCAACCTTGGCACTGCTGACATTTTTTGAATCACATCACTCTTTCCTGTGAGGGCTGTCCTGTGCATTGTAGAATGGTTAACAGCCTCTCTGGCCTCTACCCTCTGGATGCTGGTAGCACTTCTCTAACTGCGATATATGCAGATATCTTCAGGTATTGCCAGATATCCCTGGGCTGGGGGCAGGGGGAGGAAAATTGTCCCTGGTTGAGGCCACTGGTTAATAACACTGGGTTAGTAGAGGAACCTAACCTTCATGTCTAATCTTTTTTATGTTGGATTAGAATCTTTTCATTCAGAAACTGTCTTTTCATTCATTCATTCACACAGCACATATTGGCTGAGTATCTGTTGAGTATACTGTGTACCCTGTCACCAGGGCTAGATACCAATGTGAACAAGACAGACCTGTTCTTAAAGTGCTTAGAATTTAGTCAAGGGATACAGACCACGGACAAACAAGTATCATGTCAACAACAAAGGAAACCAAGTATGGATGTTGTTGTGGGCAGGGTGTTCATTTTCTTGGGAGTAGGGTTAGGAGTGGTGTTTGACATTGAATGGAATTGTCAGGGAAAGCCCCTTGGAGAATAAAGTCTTAGAGCCTAGGCATGAATAATGAGGAGATTGCCACCTGAACACTGGCATCTATGTTTCATAATAATAATATAAAGTAAGGGGGTAAATGTAATCAGTAAAAAAACCTTTCAGAATGTGAGAAGGAGATCTTGTAAAACAAGTCAATTTGTACAAAAAAGGTTGACCATCATGATCTCATCTAGCAGATGATCAAAGTGATGCCTTGAAAGACTTGCTCAGGGTGAATATGGTAGACAGAGACATCACACTTCCTGTCACTTTTTGGTGTTAGTGACCTAAGGACAAATTCTTTCATTGGCTGGATAAATATTTCAAGATAACTTTTTGTTTTGTTTTAAAGACTTATAATTTATTTGAATGACAGAGTTACCTAGAGACAGGGAAAGAGAGAGAATCTCCCATCCTTTGGTTCATTCCCCAAATGGCCACAGTGGCCCAGGCTGGGCCAGGTTGAAGCCAGGAACCAGAAGCTTCCTGTGGGTCTCTCTCATGGGTGGCAAGAACCCAAGCACTGGGCTGTCTTCTGTTGCTTTCCCAGGCCATTAACAGGGAGCTAGATCGGAAGTGGAGCAGCTGGGACACAAACCAGCACCCATATGGGGTGCTGGCATCACAGGCGGTGGCTTACTATCTGAGCCACAATGCCAGCCCCTGGTTTTGTTTTGTTTTTTAAAGGAATGACCTAATAATGAATATGCTGCAGAAGCTTAAGTTTGTTAGGCAAAAGTGAGATTTGTCAAGGATTTATGCAATACGTGGCTTGACCAAGTACCTGAACATATTTTCATGTCATTATAAAGCCTACCGTTGTGTTGGCAAACAAATGTATAAGCTCTCTGCTTCATTTCTGGGGTACAGCAACTTTTGGGTATAAACTTACTTGCCAAAAGTATGATCGGAGATTGCAAGAGAAAAGAAATAACTGTCTTTTTGGAAAAAAAAATTCCAATTCTGAGGTATCTGCCAGTCCCATTGTATAAATACATGCTGTGTTTTTCCTACTATAAGACTCTATTAATATGGTGCGGACACTAACGCATCTCAATGGGCCAGTTGGCTGGTTGAATCAGGAAGAAGGGCAGCTTTCTGACAGCTTCTGCTGTAGGTGGCGGCCAAGAAGAGGAAAACAACATCACAGACTCCTTGGGTAGGTGCCGTCAGGGTGTTCCTGGTCCACATAGACCCAGCTGTCGTTGGCCTTTTGAGACCACAGGTTGCTGGGGACATTCATCAGACAGAGCAGTCAGAACAGGAATCCTGATTTGGAGAGAGTTTCATCTGACGTAAGAAATTTGACCACAGAGTCATTGTATTGAGACCTGCCACTTATAGGGAGCGACCCAGGTCAGTTCTCATCCAAAGGAAATGACGTGGCTGAAGTTTTTTGGGCAAAACCATGGACACACAAGAGTCAACAAGTGTCAGGGAGCTGAGGTTGGGACTTCTGTGGACTTTTCCCCCCACATGGATGAAGCTCTTTTGGCCGAATTTTCCTATACTCGCCACAAGACAACAGCCAGATGTCATTTTTTTTTTCCTTGAAATAATACTACTGAGTGAGGTAAGTTGTTAAAATGGTTTCTGGATTCCTTTACTGAAACCACAGAATCCAGACTTGGTGTGTTTGGCTGGATCTTGAGAGCCAAGAACAGTTTTGGCCTTGATGGTAGCTCCAAGCCCTGAGGTCAGTCAGGCCGCCGAGCTCACAAGGAAAGAACTCAGTGCGTGTTTTGGTCTTTCATGATGTGCAAGATGACTTAGTGTGGCTTTTGCTTACTCTGCGTCTTAATCAGTTCTGTAATGAAGACCCAGCAGCATATCTGCAACTTCCCTTTAATTTTACAATTTTTATAATGAGAGTTCTTGTAGTGTGAAAAGTGGCTGTAGAAACCCAGCCAGCATTCTGAAGAGTCTATAAAGGAACACCGTGATTTTCTGTCTCTGCTGGATGGGTGAGGTTTGGCTCTGGAGGAGAGAAATCAGTTATCTCTTGTTCCTAAATGCTAGGGCAAGAATGACTTCAAAGTTTCCAAGGAGCTTCCTGATGAACCCCTGACATTTCAGAGAACTCCTCTGTACTTATCACTTCTAATGTATTCATTCGACACCAAGAATGGTTTTCCATTTTTTGAAAGAACATGATGAGGAGCTGTGATCTAGTTTGTCATGGTTGCCTTCTTTGGAGATTTTTAGTGTGGGGGAAGGTGTCTGCGTTTTGTTTTGTTTCTAAGTCACATCTCAGAATATTGTCAGGACACTTGGAGAGCTGGAGTTATCTAGTGAACTGCAGGTTCCTCTTCCCACACAATGAAGGCTGAAGCTGCTGAGATACCACCCTGCTTCCTCCCTTTCTTTTCTTGTCCCTTCTCTCCTTTTATCTCCTTGTTCACATCACACGCTTCCTTTTCTAAGGACAGGAGAGCTGGCAGACTGCCTATTGGCCTGTTGGCCTCAATTAGCCTTATATCATTGCAAAGGAATGCATGAATTCTCCAGAAGGTATGTAGTATCTCTTTCTGTGTTAGACATTCACTACCTGCTTTCATAACAGGTCACTCCGCCAGAATCAGTTCTTATTTACATATCCAACATTTTTAAGCCACTTGGATTATATCCCTAGATGCTCATCTCATTTTAATGACGATCCCAAAGGCATCTGCTATGAAATATGACTCCAACATGTGCTGTAATACTTGAAAACTTTATTCAGGAGAGCAAACCTGAATTAAGAGAGAACTTGAAGACTAGCATCCTTATCCAGAAGGCGACTGGGTTATTAATCTGCAAATTGCCTGCTTCAGACACTGTGCTTGTGTACAAGGTTCCACAGATGGACCAGGCCGAGCATGCACAACAGAGGCCACTTGCATTGGCAGCACTCGGTCTCATGGTATTTCCCGGCTACTATTTAAATCCAGTCTCATATTGGGGGTTACATATGTGACTGCAAATTAATCCTTTCTCTTCTGAAAATTTGGTTTTGAAGAACAGCTGTGTCTCCCTTCTGAATTCCTTAATTATTTATCCTCCCTGATATGTTAAACCTTTCATTAGTGTGGTAAATTGCCAGGAGTACACAGAACTGCTTAGATCATGTAGCAAACAGTATAAACATTTGATGGGACATTTGAAGACACCACATGGTGAGCCAGGGTCTATAGTAGTACCAAATGCAGTGAGAGCCGTGGAAGCGAATTATTGTTGGAAGGTCTTTGCTGGGTTATTTAACTAGTTGATTTTTTAGAAACAATAACATGGTTCTAGTACGTATGTCATTTGCACTTATTCAGACATGGATTGATTCTCCCCTAGGTCTTGTGAAATTTGAAGCACACATGCTCATATCTGAGTTCCAACGTAATCAAGGAAATTGATCACTATGTATGTGTTTAAAAAATTAGATATTCCATATTTGCATTTGTAGATCTGATTCCATAACTAGTGTCCCTAGAAGAGATTTCACCTCTACTTCTCATTTCAGGACTGTTTAGAAACATACTTGAAATGATTTTTCAGTTACTAGGACTTCTACTTTGGCCATGACCGGAGTAAATGATTAGTAGCGTTGTAGAACATTCCTTGTTGCTGAGAACAGCAAGCCAACATTCACAAGTTTGTTAATTAGTGGTTTTTCCTTTCTATTTCTCTTCCCAAGGTCTTGGGTCTTACAATTAGAAATATTGACCTCCCATTACAAGCCACAACTTGTTGACCTCATTCTATCAACGATTTCTGATCTGTAAATACATTTTTTAAGAGTGATCTTAAGGTTCTTGGTTTCCTCTTTTTTTTTGGAGCTGAGCTATTCTGAAGTTCATGCATTGCATTACCTGTCCTTGGATAATTAGTTTCTACATTCAAAGGAAAGGAAAGTAAGAAAAGCACAAACAACAGGTGCTCACTCAAGCCTTTTATTAGAATTGTGATTGAGGAGGATTGGGGAGTTCAGTGTCTTATAAACGAAAGTAGGTTTCTGGAGTGGACAGAGGAAAAGCACCTTATGGTGTTTCTGGTTCAATTTCTCAGAGGCTTTGAAGGTTATAATTAGTTGCTACTGAATCACATGGCTGTGGTGCTTCACAGCTTTATTTCTGGTCCGCAGCCCTTCAGTCAGGGAACAGGTTAGATGCAGGCAAGGCCTCTGCATTTTGCTCTGGTTGCTTCCTGGAGACAGTTGGGGTTTTGACTTGGGGACCACATTTATGCTCCTGGGCCACTGAGCTTTTAAAGAGCAGTGTTTGCCAAGCTGACCTGGACAAGAGTTGATGGTGGCGGCCTTGTGAGAATGCCATGAAGCGTCCAGGACGCCTCCCCTCTCCAATTACATCTGAGCAGTGAGTTGGAAGGACGTGCACGACGAAGCTGTGGTTTCTCTCCCCGCTCCTTCAGAGGAGAAAAACCTGAGGCTTAATGATGGATCCCTGGGATTCTGAGCACAGCCAGCGGGTGGGCGGGAGGCCTAAATGAAAGTCAGTCTTCCTGAGATGGAGAAAGAGCAGGCTGTGGCCCTAATTTCCTTTTCCTCTTTCTCGTGTCTCTGAGTATGTTCCAAACCGTGAACATCATCTCTGGATGGTTTTTAAACTTGTGTTCATGAGTTTGTCAAGCATGGACAATTAGATTTTGGGTTTCCCATCAGAACTCCAGAGTTTGAAGTTCTCAAGCTATGAATGTCAACTGAAGAAACCCAGAACTAAGAGTAAGTAGAACTGAAGAATGGTGAATAGTTAGGGCGGTCTGAGGTTTCATGTTAGGAGAGTCAATCGCATTAGGTATTGGGCTGTTTTAGAGGGAACCTGTTTTCAACCTGGCTGGCGTTATCATGGTGGGGGGGGTGCTAGTCAGAGTCACAGGTGGAACCTATTCGGCCTTGTGGGGTCTGAGGATAGTGCCTTGGAGGTAGGAGATGGGGCGTGTTAGTTCATTTTGCAGATTCATCTCAGAAACCTTTTGAAATGGCTTTTCTTTTGACTTAATTCACTGCCTTCCTCATCTACTTCTGCTTTTGCAGATTTGGTGAGGAAAAAAAATGTGGCTAATCTCATAATCACAGTCTTATTAATTAAATGAAGTAAGTGATAAGAGATCCAGGCTTTTGACCTTCAGCCATAATTTTGTAGTGGCTTAGAGTCTAGGCTAGCCTCTTAGCATAGTTCCTCCTCTGGCTTGGTGAGACAGTCAAACACGCAGTTTCACTCATTGTTGGCTTCTTAAAGGAGTACCATCTGCTGCAGAAGCATAATCTTTGCGTGATGGATGGAGCATCCTCAGGTCCAGTTTTCTTTGTCTCTGTCCCGGCTCCCCTTCTCTCCTCCCCTTGCTTCTCTCCTCCCACCCTCCCCCCTTTTTTGCATGTGTGTACAACCACAGTCTCATCAACTCATCAAGTTTCTATTTCTTGGATTGCTTGGGCCATGCTAGCAATTTCTGTTTCTTTCTTCTGTCAGTGCCTTCAGGAGAAAAGTGTACACAAAGGCAAAATGGCTTTCAAAGTAGGCTACATCCTCATTTCAGTGCTTGGTGCAGACATCAAATTGAAGGCCGTTCAGCTCTACCTGATGCTGGTTCTCCCAGCAGCTTGGAGATTAACCTCTTCTAAGGCTCCGAGCTATTTTTGAGGGAGAGACTGCAACAACATTAAAGCTAGAACCCATTAGGAAATCACTTTCATCATCTCTTCTTTTTCCAAATCAGTGCCTCTTTTTTTTTTTTTTTTTTTTCTGATCTCCTAACCCTTTAATCTCCTTTGTAGCCGAACCCGGAGATTGTTAGTTTATGTTTATAGCCAGTGAAGTTAGCATCCTTGAAAATAGCTTCGGAAGACACCAGGAAATCAGAGAACTGCCCAGACAGGTGAATTTCAACTCTAGGTGGATGATTGCACACCCAAGGTGCCCTGCTTTCCTTGTGCAGAAGTGTCATTTTTGTTGACGTGGTGCAAAGCAGGCTCAAACTTTCCAAAAGACACCCAGCAGAAAGCCTTTTGTGGCGTTATTTCTAAAGGCTTGAAGTTTTCAAGGGAAGAGATTTTGTTTTCCTCTGGGCTACACAATGGAGCTTTCAGAGAACCTCTTTTAAAAGGAATAGCTGCGGCCTTTGTGTTGAAGGGTGTGTCAGTTGGCAGGGTCTGCTGATGCAGACAGACTGGCTGGTGATTAACAAAGGTCATTAGACTTTGGAATCTGGCATGCAGCTTCGGGTGGTATGTCTTCTGTGTGTGGAAGGATGACTCCCAAGAAGCCAAGGCACTCTGGAGGTCCCCCTAGCGCAGCCCCAAGTCCTACTGGAGGACAAGGGTCTGTCTGGTCCAGGGTCCTGCTCTAACCAGTGCTCTGCTGGGACTAACGAACCAGCGTTATCCATCATGGAATAAAAGACCCTTTGGAGATCTTGGTGAATGACATTTGAGGAGGAGAAAGGTGCTGCTTTTCGGAGAGAAAGGAAAACAGATCGTCCTTTGTCGGGCAGAGAAGAGCCTAGGAGGAGCCCAGCCTGCCCTCCGAGCGTTCATTTCTGATTGTCAGCCTAGCAGACTCCAAGAGAAGCCATGTTGTGAACCGAGGAGAAGCCTTGAGCTAAAATGGCTGCTCCTAAAGCTCAGAGGACTAGGGCAGCTTAGTGAGTCTTAGAGCTTCAGTGACGCAGGAGCTCCTATCTCTTGAAAGTGTGATAAACACATTCAGCAGCGCTGTGGCTTGTTTGGCTGAGATGAAAGGACTAAGCTTGGGGGATGGGGAGCGCGCACTGGATGATCTGCTTTTTTTCTGTGAAGTGTTCTAAATGCAGGAGTCGTCTGCACCATGGAAAAATTTGTTTTCAGGTCTAATGGACTGTGCGAAAGGAGAAGCGGGGTGGGGCCTCACTGACTGCTGTAATTTGATCCAGAGCTGATAGCAACCTCTTCCACACAATTTGGGTTGGTGCTTAGACATAAAAGCTTGTGTATCTGGAATATTGAAACTTAGTTAGCTGAAAAGACTCTGGTGCACAGTTCAGTGTTTATTGAAAAAGGATAAATTGCTGGGTGAAAAGAAGACGAGGTAAATATCTGTGTCTCACTCTGCAAGCTCAGTCTGTCCAGGGCTGGACTTGCCAGAAGTTATTTTAGCAGGCTATCAGGAGGAGCATTCTTTCTTAGAAAATCCTCCTGCCATGGCTCCTTTCACAGCATTGACATGTTATTACTGGACTTGGTTCCTCCTGCAGAAATCATTTATCTTTTACAGTAAAGGTATAGAAAATTGCATCATAAAATAGACTTGGCTGCAGCTTTAGTTCTTGGACATCTGGTTCTAGATTGCAATGACTCAGTAGAGTTTGTGGTGAGCTTAATGAAATAACTCACTCATTAAGATAATAACCAGGTGTCTCCACTTAGGATATATAGTAGGATAGGAAGCGCTACACCTTTCAGATACCTGTTTGATTTCTTAATGGTGGGACTTTCCGTGGAGGTTGTGTGAAGCTCTCTGTATGATTTCAGCCACACAGGAAGTAGCAGAGTGAAGGAAGTTTTGCTTTATTCCACAACAGGTTCACAGCTTGTCGCATCCAAGTATGCACTTTTTTTTTTTTTTTTGTAAAGGAGAGAAGTAGGAGAGAAGTGGAGAAGATGAAAAATCATGATTTAGAAGCTCCTTTTGGAACCTGCTTGTTTCTGTCATCTTATGTAAACCAGGATGGGGGTGCAACTTTAGAAACTGGTTGTCATCCGAAGTTGGTTGTTGGAAAACCTCATGAGAAATATTTTATGACCTAATTAGATTGGAGAAACTGTTAGGTTATAATTGGTAGGCAGTAAACGAACAAATAACTATTTAGCTCATGGGAAAAAAAAAAAAACAACTACACTATTGGGGGAAGGGAGGGAAGAGGTGTACCCCAATACCAGTAAAGATATTAAGATAATAAAAGCTACAATAAACTCTCTACCATGACTCCTGAGATTGCCTACTGTTTCACCGTTTGATGATAACACACCAGTGTAATAATATGAAAACAGCAAATGAGAGTTGAACTTGCCATTTCTTCTGTATGAACATCTTCCTGACTTCTGACAAGTTTCTTGTTCAAGAAGGAAATGAGTCCAAGGCAGAATTAAAGTCCATAATATTAAGTTACCAGGAAATTTGAATTCTCTGGAAAAACTCAGAAAGTAATAAAACTTTTGAAGTAGTAAGGCTTTCCTTAACAAATGGCATTTGAAGATACATCAAACCAGAGAACATTTATGTTTTTTTCCTTCTTTGAGATTACAAAGTCAAGGACATCATGTCTATTATGACCAGTTGGCCTTTCTTCGGCCAGCGTTCCAGTTGGCAAAGAGCAGTGAGAGAAATGTCCCTCCATGAGACGTTTTCTCTCTAATGGCTGTGTCGTCCTGTGCGCTTGAGGGGTGTGATGAGCGCATGCCTTACAATGTTGTATTCTGACTTCTGCCCAGGTTCCTAATGTGAGAGGCTAGATCCAGGCCATGGAGGTGCTTCAGTGTGATGGCTGTGATTTCAGAGCCCCGTCCTATGAAGATCTCAAGGCACACATCCAGGATGTCCACACCGCCTTTCTGCAGCCGACGGATGTTGCCGAGGACAATGCGAACGAGCCCCGGTCTGGATCCATGAATGCCAGCAACCAGACAGAGGTGGAGTTTTCTTCTATAAAGGATGAGTTTGCGATTGCAGAGGATTTATCAGGTAAACCTGTACTACACTCAGGAGAGCTCGTATATGTAATTGCTGTCATCTACTTGTAGCTGTAGCTGTGGTTTTTGGTAGGTGTGGCTTCGGCAGAGTCTCTTGGTCTTTGTTAACCATTTGTGTGGTCTGGGCACTGTGTTTTCTCTCCTTGGGTATCCCAGGTTATTGTCTTCTTGACTTCTTCATGTTTCTAGTTTCCTTTTATTTTTTAGAGAAAGATTTGTGTATTTTAAAATATGTATTTATTTACTTATGAGAGGCACTGAAACAGATAGTGAGGGCTCCCATCTGGTGGTTTATTTCCTGAATACTCAGGGCTGAAGCCAGGATCTAGGAACACACTCTAGGTCTCCCACATGGCTTGCAGGAACCGAATCACTTGCATCATCACCACTCGCTCCTCTGGTCCACATTAGCTGGAAGCCAGAGTCAGGGGCTGGAGCTTGATGTACTGCAACGGGGGATGCAGGTGTCTTAATCATGAGGCTAAATGCCCATGCCTTAGTTTCCTTTTAATTTGGAGAACAAGGTAGCATCTTGGAAAGTTCTAGAACAGATATCACAATTTATGAAGCAGATTTTTTTTGTTTATAGCTATGTGGCTCATTTATGGAGATAAGGAGAATATTATACCAAAACCTGTATACTGCATTTCCTTCCATGAGAAGGTGAAATATGTGAATGTTCATTAATGCTTCACGAACACTCTGTAAAGGCTTGTATTGAGACATTAGGCCTTTTGAATGTGGTGTTTATTAATGAAGAAAAATTGACACAGGACTGATTGTCATGATTGAATGATTCACTTTTGTTTTGCTTTTCTCTTCTCACTTGCCTTGTGCTTTCTCTTTAGGTCAAAATGCAACTGCACTGGGGACCGGAAGTTACTATGGCCACAGTCCAGGATATTACGGTCAGCATATTGCCCCTAATCCCAAACCAACAAACAAGTTTTTTCAATGCAAGTTCTGCGTACGCTACTTCAGGTCCAAAAACCTCCTCATAGAACACACTAGGAAGGTCCATGGAGCTCAAGCTGAAGGGAGTTCGGCAGGACCACCTGTCCCGGGATCCTTAAATTATAATATCATGATGCATGAGGGATTTGGAAAGGTCTTCTCTTGCCAGTTTTGCACATACAAGTCACCAAGGAGGGCGAGAATAATTAAGCATCAGAAGATGTATCACAAAAACAATTTGAAGGAGACCACAGCTCCCCCACCCGCTCCTGCTCCAATGCCAGACCCTGTGGTGCCTCCCGTGTCCCTGCAGGACCCCTGCAAGGAACTTCCAGCAGAGGTTGTAGAGCGCAGCATCTTAGAATCCATGGTCAAACCTTTGACCAAGTCCCGAGGCAACTTCTGCTGCGAGTGGTGCAGCTACCAGACCCCGCGCCGAGAACGCTGGTGTGACCACATGATGAAGAAACATCGCAGTATGGTCAAGATCCTTTCCAGCCTCAGACAGCAGCAAGAAGGGACTAATCTACCCGATGTGCAGAACAAGAATGCCCCCAGCCCCACTTCCAACTCCTCCTATCTGTCCATGAATGCTGCCAGCCGGGAGATCCCCAACACGAATGTCTCCAGCTATAGGGGCTCCATGGGCAACTCCATCATGAGACCCAATTCTTCTTCAGCTTCCAAGTTTTCGCCCATGTCTTACCCTCAGGTGAAGCCGAAGTCACCTCACAATTCTGGCTTAGTGAACCTGACCGAGAGATCCCGTTACGGAATGACGGACATGACCAATTCTTCTGCTGACCTGGAAACAAACAGCATGCTCAATGACTCCAGTTCCGACGAGGAACTAAATGAAATAGACAGTGAGAATGGTTTAAATGCTATGGATCACCAGGCTTCAGGCATGTCTGCAGAGCAGCTGATGGGCTCAGATGGCAACAAATTATTGGAGACCAAGGGGATTCCGTTTAGAAGATTCATGAACAGGTTCCAGTGCCCCTTTTGTCCTTTCCTGACCATGCATCGACGTAGCATTTCCCGTCACATAGAAAACATCCACTTATCTGGAAAGACAGCGGTCTACAAATGTGACGAATGTCCGTTTACTTGCAAGAGCTCACTGAAACTTGGGGCTCACAAACAGTGTCACACGGGTACCACGTCCGATTGGGATGCCGTGAATTCCCAGAGTGAAAGCATTTCTTCCTCTCTGAATGAAGGCGTCGTATCTTACGAGAGCGCGAGCATCAATGGTAGAAAGTCAGGTGTCCTGTTGGATCCCTTGCAGCAGCAGCAGCCACCGCCGCCGCCGCCGCCACCACCGCCACCGCCGCCATCACAGCCACAGCCGCTGCAGCAGCCGCAGCCACCACAGCTGCAGCCACCACATCAGGTGCCACCCCCGCCCCAGCCCCAGCCACCACCAACACAGCAGCCACAGCCACCCACGCAAGCCCCACCCCTGCACCCTTACAAATGCACCATGTGTAATTACTCCACCACGACTCTGAAGGGGCTGAGAGTCCATCAGCAGCACAAACATTCGTTCTGCGACAACTTGCCAAAATTCGAGGGCCAGCCCTCAAGCTTACCATTGGAAAATGAGACAGACAGCCACCCCTCTTCCAGCAACACTGTGAAGAAAAGTCAGACCTCAATTCTTGGGTTGTCCTCCAAGAACAATTTTGTAGCTAAGTCCTCTAGGAAGCTCGCTAATGACTTTCCTCTCGATTTATCGCCCGTGAAGAAGAGAACCAGGATTGACGAGATAGCAAGCAACCTGCAGAGCAAAATTAACCAAACCAAACAGCAGGAAGATGCGGTGATCAATGTCGAGGATGACGAGGAGGAAGAGGAAGACAATGAAGTGGAGATAGAGGTTGAGTTGGACAGGGAGGAAGAACCCACAGAACCCATCCTGGAGGTTCCCACTTCCTTTTCGGCCCAACAGATCTGGGCAAGAGATGCCAGCGAACCCCAGAAGGAGCCCAACTTCAGAAACGTCACCCATGATTACAACGCCACCAATGGGGCTGAAATCGAGCTCACCCTCTCTGAAGATGAAGAGGATTATTACGGCTCCTCAACAAACATGAAGGATCACCAGGTTTCCAACACCGCTCTGCTGAATACCCAAACTCCTATCTATGGAACTGAGCACAATAATGAAAACACAGACTTCAGTGACTCCGGAAGGCTTTATTATTGCAAACACTGTGACTTCAACAACAAATCTGCCCGAAGTGTTAGCACCCACTACCAACGAATGCACCCGTACATTAAGTTCAGCTTTAGGTACATCTTGGACCCCAACGACCACAGTGCAGTGTACAGGTGCCTGGAATGCTACATCGATTACACCAACTTCGAAGACCTCCAGCAGCACTACGGGGAGCACCACCCAGAAGCCATGAATGTACTCAACTTTGACCATTCGGACCTGATCTACCGCTGTCGGTTCTGTTCGTACACGAGCCCGAATGTCAGAAGCCTGATGCCACATTACCAAAGAATGCATCCCACGGTGAAGATCAACAACGCGATGATATTTTCAAGCTACGTCGTGGAGCAGCAGGAAGGGCTGAACACCGAATCCCAGACCCTGAGGGAGATTCTGAATTCGGCTCCCAAGAACTTGGCGACGTCCACTCCCGTGGCTCGTGGTGGTGGCATGCCGGCTACGTTTAATAAGAACACTCCGTCAAAGACCTTTACTTCAGAATGTGAAAATCAGAAGGACCCCTCGGTCAACACCGTTGTCGTTTACGACTGTGACGTGTGCTCATTCGCGAGCCCCAACATGCATTCTGTCTTGGTTCATTATCAGAAGAAACACCCTGAAGAAAAGGCTTCCTACTTTAGGATCCAGAAAACCATGCGAATGGTGTCTGTGGACAGGGGCTCCGCCCTTTCTCAGTTGTCATTTGAGGTGGGTGCTCCAATGTCTCCCAAAATGTCCAACATGGGTTCCCCACCCCCCCCACAACCCCCGCCACCAGACCTCAGTACTGAGCTTTACTACTGCAAACACTGCTCCTACAGCAATCGGTCAGTTGTGGGAGTGCTTGTCCACTACCAGAAAAGACACCCAGAAATAAAGGTCACTGCCAAATATATCAGACAGGCTCCTCCCACAGCTGCAATGATGAGAGGGGCCGAAGGGCCCCAAGGCTCCCCTCGGCCACCCGCCCCCATGCAACAGCTGAGCCGAAGCAGCTCGGAGAGAGACGGCCCTCCTGTGGAGAATGAGATGTTCTTTTGCCAGCACTGTGATTACGGGAACCGGACGGTCAAAGGTGTACTCATTCACTACCAGAAGAAGCACCGCGACTTCAAGGCCAATGCCGACGTGATCCGGCAGCACACGGCCACCATCCGAAGCCTCTGCGACCGGAACCAGAAGAAGCCTGCCAGTTGTGTGCTTGTCCCCACCTCCGGTGCGGAGCGGGACAAAACCAAACTGCGGGCGCTCAAATGTAGGCAGTGTTCCTATACCTCTCCCTACTTCTATGCACTAAGGAAGCATATCAAGAAAGACCACCCTGCCCTGAAGGCCACGGTCACGTCCATCATGCGATGGGCGTTTCTAGATGGCTTGATAGAAGCTGGCTACCACTGTGAGTGGTGCATCTATTCCCATACAGAGCCCAATGGTTTGCTCCTGCATTACCAAAGGAGGCATCCAGAGCATTACGTTGATTATACTTACATGGCCACCAAACTCTGGGCTGGGCCAGACCCCTCCCCTCCCTCCCTCACAATGCCAGCTGAAGCCAAAACATACCGGTGCAGGGACTGTGTCTTTGAAGCCGTCTCCATCTGGGACATCACCAATCACTACCAAGCATTCCACCCCTGGGCCATGAATGGTGATGAGTCGGTGCTCCTGGATATTATCAAGGAGAAAGATGGTGTTGAGAAGCCCATCCTCCCCACTGAAGAGTTGGCAGGCCCTGTGAATTGTGAGAATAGCATGCCCATCCCCCTCCCCGAGCAGGAAGCTGAATGCCCAGAGGATGCGAGACTTTCCCCAGAGAAAAGCATGCATCTGGCTTCAGCCAACCCCGCCATCTCCTCCACCCCGTACCAGTGCACCGTCTGCCAGTCTGAGTACAACAACCTGCACGGCCTTCTCACCCATTACGGGAAGAAGCACCCGGGCATGAAGGTGAAGGCTGCTGACTTTGCCCAGGACATCGACATCAACCCAGGTGCCGTGTACAAATGCAGGCATTGCCCATACATCAACACCCGCATCCATGGCGTCCTGACCCACTACCAGAAGCGACATCCGGCCATCAAGGTGACCGCCGAGGACTTTGTGCACGACGTGGAGCAGTCTGCCGACATAACCCAGAACGACGTGGAGGAGACCAGCAGGATTTTCAAGCAAGGGTATGGCGCCTACCGGTGCAAACTGTGTCCGTACACGCATGGCACTCTGGAGAAGCTCAAAATCCACTACGAGAAGTACCACAATCAGCCCGAATTTGATGTCTTTTCCCCGTCGCCCCCGAAGCTGCCAGTCTCCCTGGAGCCCGAGATAACCACTGAAGTGAGCCCCTCCCAAGTCTCCATCGCCGAGGAGGAGGTGGGAGAGGAGGCCGTGTCCACTTCTCACTTCTCTACCTCGCACCTGGTCTCCCACACTGTGTTCCGGTGCCAGCTCTGCAAGTACTTCTGCTCCACAAGGAAGGGCATCGCCAGGCACTACCGGATCAAGCACAACAACGTGCGAGCCCAGCCCGAAGGCAAGAACAACCTGTTCAAGTGTGCCCTGTGTGCCTACACCAACCCCATCCGCAAAGGGCTGGCGGCCCACTACCAGAAGCGCCACGACATCGACGCCTACTACACGCACTGCCTGGCGGCTTCCAGGACCATCAGCGACAAGCCCAACAAGGTGATCATCCCGTCGCCGCCCAAGGACGACTCCCCGCAGCTGAGCGAGGAGCTCCGGCGGGCGGTGGAGAAGAAGAAGTGCTCCCTGTGCGCCTTCCAGTCGTTCAGCAAGAAGGGCATCGTGTCCCACTACATGAAGCGCCACCCGGGCGTGTTCCCCAAGAAGCAGCACGCCAGCAAGTTGGGGGGCTACTTCACGGCCGTCTACGCGGACGAGCACGAGAAGCCCCCGCTGCTGGAAGAAGAGGAGAGAGGCAGCTTTGAGAAAGCCGAGGTGGAGGGCGAAGCGCAGGAGATGGAGTGGCTCCCGTTCCGCTGCATCAAATGCTTCAAGCTGTCTTTCAGCACGGCGGAGCTACTGTGCATGCACTACACTGACCACCACAGCCGGGACCTCAAGAGGGACTTCGTCATTCTGAGCAACGGCCCCCGCCTGCAGAACTCCGCCTACCAGTGTAAGCACTGTGATAGCAAATTGCAAAGCACAGCCGAGCTGACCTCACACTTGAACATTCACAATGAGGAATTCCAGAAGCGTGCCAAACGTCAGGAGAGGAGGAAACAGCTTTTGAGCAAGCAGAAATATGCAGATGGTGCTTTTGCAGATTTCAAACAAGAGAGGGTAAGGATATGTTTTGATTTCCCTTCCCCCAGGAGGCCTCTCATCACTGGTGCCCACATGCACTTCTTCGTTGCCAGCCAAACTGCTGCAGGCTTCCTAGTGACTTAGCTTGCCAGAGAGCTCAATAAGTCAATTAAACATTTCGAGCCTGATTATCCCCCATTCTATGCTCTCCACGGTCTTTTCCCTGCCCTCCCTCCCTCTGACTCCTCCCATGGCTCCCCCAGGGGAGGTTCGGGGTGGTTTCTATGTATGTCTTTCTGCCAAGTAGCCTTATCTGAAGCCTAGTTACGCAACGACACTCGCTCTTTCCTAAGGCAGTGGTGGGCTGTCTCTTGGTATCATTAGCACGGCTCAGCTATGCGGTCTTCAGTGTTTGCTACATGAACCTAACATCTCAACGAGTAGAGGTTTTGTTGCTTGTTTTGTTTTGATCAAGGAATTCATTTAATGGCACAGCTATGCAACGTTTCACCTGCGTAGTTGGGACTGGTTTGAAAACCAGATAACTTATTGGCAGTGACAATGAGCTTCTACAAAGAAATCTTCTCTACTCACAAGCCGTAACATATTTGGGTTCCGGGGACTGCGTAGTAGGCAGTGTGCCATAACTCTGATGCATTTGTTATATAAAAACACTCACATATATCTCCCTTGGTTTTTAACCTGCTAATCTGCTTTAAAATACAATGTACTTGTAAGCTAAGAGAATAAATGCTGGCGGTCGAGCGAGGGCTCGGAGTACTGATGGCTACCACTGTATTTTACCAGCCTTTTGGTCACTTAGAAGAGGTGCCAAAGATCAAGGAGAGGAAAGTGGTGGGCTACAAGTGTAAATTCTGTGTGGAAGTGCACCCAACGCTCCGAGCCATCTGCAATCACCTGCGGAAGCACGTCCAGTACGGCAGCGTCCCAGCCATGTCCGCCGCTGTGAAGGTGAGCACCGGGGACGGTCTGGGCGAGCGGTCGTGTGTGTCTCTGTGTGTGTCTGTGTCTGTGTGTGCGCCACCTGAGTTACTTATTAACCCCGTCGCTGAAAGCAGCTCAGCAAAGAGTATCTCACAATGCGGGCATGCCTGAGTTATGCTTGGCTTGCTTTGGTTTGGCTTGTTTGGATTTCTTTGCAGGTCTGGACCTCCCTCATCTTTCTGTTCAGGGAAAGGTTGAGTTTTGATCGGGTTCCCTTCCACGTGGATAGTTTGGTGGAAGCAGAGTGTTCTGGATTCTCGGTATCACAGGCTTTAGTGCCATTAGGGCTTCGCTGCCCACCCCCAGTGCCCGAGGTTTTGAGAGGAATCACGTGGGTCCTGTTCCCATCATCCTAGGCTCCCCTTACTGCGTAGCCTCTTCCTCTTCTCGTCTGGCTGAGGATGCTGAGAGCCCAAGAGAATCTGTCTTTACCTTGTTATCCAGGGCCATGTGGGGAGGGCAAGAGACATTAAATCAAAATCTGAAATCCTTCAAGTCCCAGTTGACCCTGCACGTCCTCTGACCTGGCTTTTCTGCTCCATCCCCTCTCCCTGTGTGATGCTAACAGGTGTCTTCCTCTTCCCTTGACATTTATTAGACCACCTGTCTGGAACGTCATAATCCCTAATAGCAGCCACTGTTTCCATAACAGCTGCCGTCTTCCAGGATATTGCTATGCACTTAGTTTTGAAAGCAGAAGTCGAGTCAGGGTTCTGCCCTTTCCCTCTGGACCTATGGCTATATTTTTGTCATCATCCCTCCTTGGTCGTGCCTGCTGGTTTTTCAAGTTAGTGTGAAGGTAAAGCTGATTTCTTCATTGAAGACTGCAGCCTTCTGGGTTCGGGCAGAACAATGGCAGCCCAAGGACAGCAGCCATGTGCTACTTCCACGCACCACTGCCGTGGGCACCGGGCTTGTTTCCTGGAATCACACAAGAGACACAGAGGCAGCCCTTCCTGTGTAATCAGTACTCCAAGGAACTACCTGGAAACAAATGAAAAATGGGCGACTTCAAAGCAGGCCGCTCTTCCATGTTTCGAATTGATTGTACCATTGCCTTCCATTAAGGAGCAGAGTCACCGCCTGGAGGGTGGCGTGGAGGGCAGAGAGCAGGATCTGTTGCTTTGCTTCGTTTCTAGACGATGGCCCAAAGCTCTTAGAAGCCCAAACATTTCTGCTGTTCTCTATTGCTTCTTTTTCCTTTTCTCTGAGCCAATCCCCTTACCGAACTTTGTCAGTTTAGGTGGGGTTGCGTTTGAAATTTCTTTCCAAGGCGGGGAATAGGGAGTGAGCCATCTTCACCGTGGTGGAGCCCCACTTCCACATTTCCTGGACAAAAAAGCAACCTGTGTCCTGAAATGACCAGCACTGCGTGAAGATTGCCAATCAGGCTCGCCCTCCATTTAGGGGGTGCCCGAGTGTCAGGGGAAGATTTGCCAAGAAAGGCTGAGGAGTTTGGGAGAATGAAGGGAGAAGCGGAAAGCTGGGAGCAATGCTGATGGATATTTATTTTGTTGGTGGGGCGTGTGTGTGTGTGTGGTTCTCTTAGCAGGAGGCTGAAGACCCTTCCCACCTGTTCCTGGATGGATTGGAAGCAGCCAAAGATGCCAGTGGCGCCCTGGTGGGCCGGGTGGATGGTGAACACTGCTTGCTTGATGGAATGTTGGAGGATGAAACCCGGCCGGGGGGATACCATTGCAGTCAATGTGACAGAGTCCTGATGTCCATGCAGGGGCTGCGTTCTCATGAGAGGAGCCACCTGGCCCTGGCCATGTTTACCCGCGAGGACAAGTACAGCTGCCAGTATTGCTCCTTTGTTTCTGCTTTCAGGCACAAGTAAGTGCTATTGGGTGGGACCGGTGGTTTCTGAGAGATGGCATAGTAGAAGGCAGATAGGCCAGAGCTGGAGAAGCCTACATGAGTCAGAGGCCCCATTCGTGGCTCACGCCTGCTGCTGTTTTACCTTGGGCTTCAGTCATCACATCTGCAAAATGGGGCTAAGAATGGAAGCCTGATTGGATGGCGTTAGGTTTGGCACACGCAGGCGTGGAAGAGGACTGCTGTGATTGACTCAGGGAAGACTTGTAGCAGAAGGGAGTGGACCAATTTATGGGTGCATCTGTGAAACGTTCACTGGAAGCCGCATCAGCACAGGAGGAAGTAAAGTTCCATGTGGAAAGCCGAGTGCTGAAGAGGTGCAGTTAGGACTGTTAAATGCAGGTGATGAAAAAATCATGGTCTGAGTTGTTTTTTTGCAAAGGACTTTGAAAGATAAGGCAGTTTTTGAATGCCAAAGGCTGCTTGAAGTACAGGGTGGTCAAGAGGGAACTCAAGTTGCTCCTCACTACTTGGAAGGTGCAGATTTGGGCAGAGAAGTGAAGTGATTGGACAAGGTGCACCTTTTGTTGCCTCTCTCTTTTACCTGAGTAGAAGAGATAACTATTCAATAATGCGTTCCAACTGTCCGGGAAGGCAATTGGTTGTAAACCTGACAAGCTGTTTATGTTTATAATAATTAAAACACAATGATGGGCTATTTGCGTCTTTGGAAAGATGAAGTGCTACTTAATAGCTGTTGAAGAGTAGGCTTCTACAGGGGCAAAGATAGGCTATAAAGGCTTTGTTATCACACAGAGCCTGATGCCTCATCTGCATTATTAGATTCATACATTGGCACAAAATTATCTATCACTTTGTCTAACCTGCAGTGGGACTTTTGGTAATTCATCGAGAGTAAATGAGGACACTCCTGTGCTAGGCACTGTGTCTGGTGGGGAGCAGAAATAAGAACCAGACATGGTGTGTGACCTCAGGGAATTCAGGGTCTAGGACAGGGTTACATCAAGCAAACGTACATGTGACTCGACAAAATAAGGCACATGTGTTTTTAAAAACTCCATAAAATGCTGTAAAGCTTCAAAGAAAGGAAATGTTATAGCCACTTTGGTAGAGTCCGGAAGCTTTTATGGAGTAAGGAGCATTTGAGTCATGTTTTCAAGTAGGAAGCTAGGACTTGAATAATTTGGAAAAGGCACACAATCGGGAGGAAAAGATGAGAGAGCACAAACTGGGGAGGAGACTGGGAGGCGCACTGAGGCCCAGCTGCTGCTTCAGATGGACTAATCTGTAACTTCCATGGAACAGAAGAGTAGAGGACAAGGTCTGAAGACCTGAGTGGAGACCATAGGTGTAGACTTTAAATGCCAGAAATTAGTTCTTAAGGACTAGTTCGAAGTCTGAAATGAGTAAGGTAATCACAGTTGCTAACATTTCATACATCGCCTTGCAAATCATGTGCCTTCAAAGTATGACCTCATTACATTCACAAAACAGCCCAGTGAGGTATGCTTCCATTATTGTTTCCATTTTATGGTTAAGAAAACTGAGGCCCACATAGGTTAAGTAACTTGCCTACTCTCACACAGCTTAGTAGATGAGATTTTTAGCTCTGGCAACCTGACAATATTGCTTATGCTCTTGAGTTGACAAAAAAGATTGGGGGGTCATGTGCATTGTAGGGGGATGGGCACTGTGGCATGGCAGGTTAAGCCGCTGCTTGGAAATCCCACATCCTGTATGGTAGGATCTGGTTCCAGTCTCAGCTACTTTTGCTTTGGAACTGTCTTCCTGCTAATGTGCCTGGGAGGCAATGCATAATGACCCAAGTACTTGAGTCCCTGCCACCCATGTGGGAGACCTGGATGGAATTCTTGGCTCCTACTTTGACCTGGCCCAGCCCTGGCAGTTGGAGGCATTTGGAGAGTGAACCAGCACAAGGAAGATCTGTCTGTCTGTCTGTCTGTCTCTCTCCGTCATTCCAGCTTTCAAATAAACAAATTTTAAAAGAAAAAAAAAGATGGGGAAGATCAATTAAGAAGCAGTGGTAAAGGCCAGCTGCTTGTTGTGCTGGCCTTCCATATGGCTGCTGCACTTGGATCAGCTCCCTGCTAATGGGCCTGGAAAAGCAGCGGAAGACAGCTCAAGTGTTTGGGCTCCTTCACCCACATGGGAGACCCAGATAAGGCAACTGGCTCCTGGCTTCGGCCTGGCCCAGTCTCAGCCAATGAGGCCATTTGGGGAGTGAACCAGTAGATGGAAGACTTCTCTATTTCTCCCTCTCTCTCTGTAACTCTGCCTTCAAATAAATAAATACATCATAAAAGAAAAAAAGGGGGGGGGGAGCAGTGATAGTAGCTGAACTAAGCAGTTAGCTAATGGTTGAGAGAATAAATCTACATGACAAAAATTGACTTAATATATGAATGGCAAAGTAAAGTACAAATGGGATCTGTATTTTCGGTTTGGTTGAATGGTGGTACCATTTGGGAGAATGGTAGTGCTAGTTACAGAAACCAGGAGATGAAGAAAACATTTTTGTTTTGTAGGAAAAACAGGTCAGTTTGTTTAGCACAGGTTAGTTTGAGATAGCTAAAGACATGGAGAGATGTCCAGAGGCACTTGAAAACTGTGTGGGAGCTCAGGTGAGCATCATGTTTAAATGGTAAGCAGTACCTTTCCCATGTGAACCATTTAACATGGAATTCAGTTTTCTGGGATATTGATACAAATGAGAATGCTTCCTCACAACTTGTTTTGTAAATTGATTGTGTTTAGACTAATACTTGTTATGAAGTGCTATGGATTCATTGTAATTAAATAGTCTAAGAAGTTGCTTTTGGAAGACTGATATATAAAAACATGGCTGTGTTCCTCAGCCTTTTGATCATGTGACTCCTTTCAACACTCTTATGTGGGGCCTCTGTGTTAACAGTGACTGGAATAAGACAGCCCACTGCAAGGAGGGCGGCCAGTTAGCCAACCCCTTCCCCACCTGAACGTTACAGGACGAAAGTAGAATTAAAATCTAAAAAGAAACTCGGCCTTTAAAATTACCAAATCTGTCAAATTCCCATTCTTTTTCTGGATAATTTAGAGGTCTAATTGATAGGGATGGATTCTCACTGCCTTGACACAAAGTTTGAATTCCCTCATATATTACTGTCTTTTGTATACTCTTCCAGTTATCCATGCTGTGGAGAAGGAAAAATAAGTCTGCTGTGACTTATTAGCACTGTCATATTTCTCCATCCAAAAAGATCTGTTCTTTTAGCTTCTCCTCCTCTTAGTATAAGTCCAAAAACTGTTGCCAATTTCTTTGTTTATTATTTGGTAAGTGCCATTATTGGAAAGTAAACAAAAGAACTCTGAACAGCGTAGAAGTGCGATTCCTGGGAAAGAGCAATGAGAAAATGTTGCATGCAATTTTTAATTTTGTGTTTTCCTTTTCTTCCTTCTGCATCAAGTTTGGATCGCCATATGCAAACCCACCATGGACACCATAAACCATTCCGATGCAAACTCTGCTCCTTCAAGTCCTCGTACAATAGCCGGCTGAAAACACATATACTCAAAGCTCATGCCGGTGAGTTGGAATCTGTGACGCACAAGTTCTTCAGCACTCTGAGTTTGAGATCTGATGGTCTTTACTGGGTGAAAATTTTAGTCTGTTGCATGACATAGGAGAATAAGATGGTTGAGATGTTCAATTGTATTGTTATCTAGTAAAGAAGAAAATAAAGAAAAATTAAGGAAACTCACCTAATTCCGGAAGAATACAAGCTGTCTCACTGCTGTCATGGCTAATTCATGCTACCAATAAGTTAAAATTAAACTTTTTTTAAAGAAAATTTCTAATTTCTCTAGCCTTGCTAATGGAACTGTGGATAATTATATATAGTAAAGATAATTTCCAACTCAATAAAGTTACAATCTTTAAAAAGTTTGAAAGGACAAAGACAACTCAAGATTTGGGAGATTTCTCAGAGATGTGCTTAGATGCATTTCCATGCACCAGTTGAGAAGTAACTTTGAGTAGGGAGAGCACGGGGGGGCGGGGGGCTGTGCTGGTCTCCATCGCTCTGTTGTTCCATCTCTTGTGCTGCCATTACAACCATCCCTTACCTCCCAGGCTCTGCATTAAGCACCAAGCATATTATATTCATCATCCTAGTCCGTCTTCATGACAATTCTAAAGGATAGGTGTTGTGTATCTTCCCTGTGCTTTATATGACACTTGACAACACTTTGAACATGTTGTAAAATCTCCCTAGAACCTGGGTCCTTTACTTTTGTCATCTCCTCATGCCCTGTGCAAATAAGACCATGTCTCTTTGCTATCTCCTGAGTGTTGGATCTGTTAAATTGACTTAATACAGTAAAACAATCCAAGCCTCCCAGATGCCCTAAACCACACTGGGGGTTGGGGGTGGGATAGGGAGATTAGCTATATGGGCTTTTTTCTATTATTTGTTCATATTTTTGTATCTCCAGGAAATTTCTCAAGTACCTGAAATAAGTGGCTTCAGAGTTTAAAACTACTCTTTTCTAACTTGTGTATATTGTAAATTATTCAACTGGGACAGCATCCTGGCGAGTTTTTCCCACAGGCTTCGGCCCTGTCCAAAGCACTTTACCAGTTGGGAGGGTGTGAATGATTCGGCCCATGGGAAGGACTTTAAAAGACTTTTGACTCATCTTATCTGTTCTAGGTGGATTGTTGTATTCTATTTTTAAGGGCAAAAAGTAGTATGGATGAACCAAATCATCTGGATTCTCATTCTCAGGTTGTATAACTCAAAACCGTCCAGCAAGGTTCGTGTAGCCAAGCTTGCATTAAAAAAAAAAATGAAAAATAGAACAAAGAGAGCAGAGAGATTAAATACAACATAGGATGTTTTACATTAGTAAATACCTCTGTTCACTGCCCAGCATGATTGCCTACCGGCTAGGTGATGGTCGAGGAGACAACTTACTGGTGTTCTTGTTTGGATTCTCTGTCGTCCTTGAACTTCTGTTCTGCTTGGTACTGTATAATGATTGTATAATTCAGTTCTCATCAAGACTTTCCTAGGGATGCAGGCTCTAGGGGTCATCCATGGTGAGAAGAAGGTGTAATTGCAAAATTGGATGCTGAGCTCACAGTTGAGTAATTTTCACAGAGGCAAGAAAGTCACAATCTCAGCTGGTTAAAAGTAGGGCCAGGGATTTACATTCTGGCTCGTTTCTCTTACTATTAATCAGTAGACCACCAGCTCTATCTGTCATTGTGACTATTTCCTTTCAACCATTTTCTCTATAAGTATTTTTAACACTTATGATGATGATGATATCAAATATATATTGCCTTTCTATTTATTTTTTGTACTCTATGTTATTATAAACTCTTCAGGAATTTATTTTAATGGAATGATAGTTCATCAAGAGGATATGCTTGCATTTACTTATGGTTAGAAATTAAGATTGTTCCATACCTTTTTCAGGCATAAATAATGTATATTTCAAAATAAAGCTTTCTGAGTACTAAAGGATGTTTCCTTTATAGAGACTTGCAGAAGTGGAATTATTGGGTTGCAGGCGTGAGCATTTTTAAGTCTATAAAAAGCAAAATTGCTTTCTGAATTAATCATACTAGTGCATATCTACCCAAAAACATAAACATGCACATTTCACATCCTTCTTAATATGTAATTAACTTTTAAACGCTGTCTTATAGCAAAAGTAAATCATGCTATTAATTTGATTGTGACGATCTATGCTGTATTTCAGTGGCATAACTTAATTGAAAGAAAAATACCTATTTTTTCTTAATATACTCTTTATTGAAGAATGATGGACATATACACACACACTTACCCCACCCACCCACACACACATGCATGTTTGTATATATGAGTTCAACTCTACTAGAGAAATGACTCATTATGCACTAATTAGGAAGAGAAATGGAGTTTTATGCTTAGTTTGTGAACTCATCAGAAAAAGAAATACATGTATAGAGGATGTGTGGGATGAGGAGTTACGTAGTTAACAAGGAAATAAAGATTGAGAATACCATAAAAGAGCTTGAATAGAGTGACTTTGTGTTTAAAAAGCTGCTAATAGATCTTCTAGTTAAGAATTAAGCATGTTATTTTCTATGGTTGGAAACAAAGCAACCTTGAGTAAAAACTGACATGATCACTTCTAGTGTGAGAGGAACAAAGGGATTGGAAAACCTTTCAGAAGGAGATATGGTAGACGGTTGAGTTTCCATCCTGTTGGAGAATCAGCCCATAGCCTCACCCCTATAAGTAGAATATGAGACTCAGAAGGGACCAAGTGACTGGACTATGGAGCCTTGGGGAAGAGCTGCAATCCTAAAGGAGCACTGAGGTTGTGGGAGTGGTCAGGTGAGGGCTCATAGACCATGATGCTTGAGTGAATTAACCCTGCCTTCTGCCTTTCTCCCTTGTTCCTGTTCTGTCCCCTCCCACCAACTTGTTCCAGGTGAACACGCCTACAAGTGTTCTTGGTGCTCATTCTCCACCATGACAATCAGCCAGTTGAAGGAACACTCCCTCAAAGTCCACGGAAAAGCCTTGACCCTCCCTAGGCCACGGATTGTCAGTCTCCTCTCCTCACACGCCCACCACTCCTCCCAGAAAGCTGCCCCCAGTGAAGAAGTGGAAGACTCCAATGGTAAGAAGAGGCTTCTGGGCCAGCATTAACCACTTCCGGTTGAGAGAGGCTGGCACGAATTATCGATCATTCTTTTCTAGAGGACATTTTTATGTGTACGCATAACGGTTCAAGTGAAGGAAGAAACAAGAAAAAGTTGAAACAATATAGAAATGGAGTTGGAAGGGGAAGTGAGTGTGTGATATTGTCAGTCAAAACTTGTGTAAGGGTTACTTGTGCCAAGAGCTTGTTCTTCAGGATACATCCATTTTGGATACTTCTACTGTGGGTTCAAGCAAGAAAGCAATAGAATACCGGGGAGATTTCTGTATTTCTGTATCCTGTCTTGATCTTCTCTGATCAACATATGTAAATTAACTACACAAAATTCAGACTAGGAATGGGAAGGATGAATGGGTGCGGCAAGTTTGTCTGAGTGGGTCACATAACACCTTAGAGGTAATGCGGTCGTTTCTTATAGCCCAAGGATGTTCAGGAAGCATTGACTGGGAAAAGAATTAAGTGCCCGGATTTGGATCTTGAGAAGAGATACAGGAAGCCTTGGAGAGGGTCTGCTCACCGGTAATATGACCAAAGCTTTAGGAGAGACAGAGAGGCCATCCTTGGAGCCTTCATGTTTGGTGTAGTGACCAAAGGGAGAGTTTCTTGTCTGGATCAGACCTGGGAATGGGCCTGATTTGGATACTCAACTGACCTCGGATGACCGCAGAATCAGATACATGCGAGAGAAGTGGAGGAAGTCTGTAGATTCTTGGTAGATTCAAGGTATCCAATACCTTGGCACTGTTGTCCTCCAACCCTCACTAATGCTTGAACCCCTTCTAGTATCCAATTCACTGCCACTAGCTTAAATACTTCCCCAGGTCAGGAAATACTTCTCAGGTCAGGGAACCAGCTGTCTCTCGTGGTCTACTATTACATTCTTATGAGGAGCTTAGGGAACAGGCAAGGATGGAACGAAGCCTGGATTTGAGTCTTACTTCTCTCAGTGCTGGTGGGTTCCCCTGGATTTTCTTGACCTCTTAGAAACCATGTGTCAAATTGGTTAATGAGACCTGCCTCAGCCCATGACCTTGAGAGATTAATGAGGAAAAGTACACAGATAAGGACTCTACTATAACATCTGACACATACTAGATATTTCTTAGTGGTCATTTTATTGCTGTGATTTTCACCCTTTAATTGGAAATTCTGGCAATTCTTTGGGACCATTTATATCAAGTGTGAATTTGGGGTTATTATTAAGCGTTTAAGACAAGAGACTTTTTGGATAACCTGAACATGTAGCAACTTAATTTGTCAAAAGTGGTCTAATTCTCAGACTACTGAAAGAGCAGATAGGCCATCTTTATTTGTTAGGCCTGTGAGCAGACATCTATAGGAGGAAATAGAAAGGTTGTAAGTCCTGAGAAAAAACCTGGCTTGTTGAGTTACAGCACTTGGAGGCTTTTCCTTTGCAAATCAGTAAACACTGTGCTAAGCATCCTAGCTCCCAACTGGTAACCGCATCTTAAAGGATTTTTACTTAACACGGAAGTCTTGTTATGATGGCTGTGACTGGTAGTGAAGTGAGCACGTGATCTCAACTGTTGTGTAGTCGTTTACAATATAGGTGGGGGGAAGCTACTTGTTTTTCTTCTGGAAAAACTTAAGAGTCTTAAATTAAGATTGGTGAGGGTGAACGTAAAAGGGTCAAAACACATGTCCTCTTAGCATCTTGAGATTCTGTTCACTGGAAGCCTTGGTAGATTGCAACCAGAGGGCAAAATCGAGTTTTACCCAAATTGTAAGATCTCTATTAACATGACTTTTAGTTCACTGATTTTTTTTTTAAAGATTTTATTTATTTGAGAGGTTGAGTTAGATAGAGAGACAGAGAGAGAGAGAGGAAGGTCTTCCATCTGCTGGTTCACTCCCCAAATGGCTGCAATGGTCAGAGTGGGGCCGATCCAAAGCCAAGAGTCAGGAGCTTCTTCTGGGTCTCCCAGGTGTGTGTGTGCAGGGCCCAAGCACTAGGGCCATCTTCTACTGCTTTCCCAGGCCAACAGCAGAGAGCTGGATCAGAGGAGAAGCAGCTGGGACACAGACTGGCGCCCATATGGGATGTGGGCTCTGCAGGCAGAGGATTAGCCTACTATGCCGCACTGCCAGCCCCTGTTGCTTTTTTTTGAAATGGAAGCTACACCTGTTGAGCTGTTTAGGTGAAACTGATCATCCAAACCCCATTCCTAACAAAGGCTTTTCCTGGGACATTTCTCTTGATGTCACATGTCCTTTCTCCTTTGTCCTTCCTTAAAATGGGGGTCTCGGTCACAGACAAGGGAATCCCATAGACCAGATCTGCAAGGCCAAGGAGAGTGGAGGTCAGTCATCTTCCTAGTCATGGATTCTCTGCCAACAGCTGGACTGAGCACAGAAGAATCTGAAAGGAAGTCAGTACTGTTTGGGCCCTCCAGCAGCTTAAAATTAAATGTGTAGGAGACATTATGAGGACATGCATTTGAGCTTGCAACAACCCCTGAACCCGAAGCCTTACCTTTTTAGGGGATGGTTTTAGATTCTTGGAAGCAGGACTATGAGGAAGGGAAAGGATGGTCACAGCAACACGACAACATGATATTTAGTGATGAACTGAATAGCACACTCACTCTGTGTTTGCTCGGCCCCATGAAGATAATTTGCAGCATTTTTGCAGTTGAGTTTTTTCATCCTTCTTAAGAAAGAGTACAGTAAGTGTGAAAGCTCTGGATGGTGTCTATTTATTGAGGCCTGCACAAAAAAAAAAAAAAAAATCTCAGGACCTGTGCTGGTTTTGATGTATATAAATAACCTATATCAAAGGACTGGTGGTGATTAGTTTAATTTGACGACAAAAATCCGAGGTAGAAGGTGTGGTAAACAGAAAGAAGGCATCCGATGGGCTATTCTCCTGCATGATTAATTATGTGGAAAGAATAATTCATAGCTTGTTCCTTCGATAAGTATCTTCCTTGAATTCTCACTATAGGGCTTGCACAGCCTTTGCATGGCCAAGAATGACTGAGGGGGCCCACAGTAGGAAGACCATTTGCTGGGAAACTGGATGGTGGATTCCTAGAAGCAGCTAAGTCTGGAGGAGAGAAAAACAGCTGTGGGGCTAGACAGTAGCTTGTAAATCATGCTTTGAATGGTGTTTGAAACACACATGTGAAATCCAATTGCACATTTTAATAGGGAGAAGCTGTGGGGCTATTGGCTCCCAGTGAAGGTTTCCCACACTACAGATGCCAGGACACTGTGAACACACAAACCAAAAATGTGTTGCAGGCCTGGGGGGGAGTCGAAATCCATAAAACCAGGGAAATCACCAGTGTGTCTTTGGCGTTCTGATTCCCTGGTGAGGGATGTGGATAAAACGAGTTGACATGCTCTCTGCTATTTGCAGTGGTCAAATGCTTGTCGTCTTGAGAGCGAGCCAGTCTTCTCTGGCAGAGGGAAACTGCCTGAAAAAAAGGAGGTTCTTCCTAAGCAGCTCTCCCTCCCAAGCCAGAGGGAAGCCAAGAAAGCAGAAATGAGAAGGTGGAGGGGAGAGTTCGCCCCAGCTGCCAGGCCACACACCTGTTCTGTGCTTAAACAAACTCCTGGGCTCTGAGCTGTCAGTCTTGACATGTTTCGCCAGCACACGAATTCTCTCTATATTCTCCACGATCAGTTGCTGGAAAGAAAACCAATGGCTGTATGGTATTGGTTTTGTGTATAGGATAATGGGAAATGACATGAAATTGCTATTCTAAACAATGCATTAAGGAGAAACAATAAGGTTGTCAACAAAGGGAAGTGCTCTGCTGTGTTTGTGTTTACTGTGTTCCTTCTCTTGCCATATAAAATATAGGGCTGGCTTTTATCAGGCTGTTTCTAAGTCTCTGCTTTCAGTACAGCAAAAATACACACAGCTATAAAATAACAAGGAAACAGGGACAGCATAGTTTAGCTAAGAGATTTGTTTAGGTCTGAGATGCAGGGGCATTGGATATGCAATTTAAAATTCAGCTATATCCCTTATAAGAAGTCAAACTAGTGGTGACAGTCCATCTTTTTCCTCCCTCAAATTTTCCCCAATGAATAGATTCTTTTATTCTATCTATCCAGTTTTGTTGTATAACACTGCCTGCTGTAGAAAATAGCTACTATGATACATTTAAGGTGAAAGCAGAAGTCGAACAGTAAAACCAGGGGCAAAATGAATAAAGTGGATGGGGGTAATACTTGTATAATTAGTTCATTTTTTTGTCCATGCTCTAGTTAGTGACCCAGAGAAAACACAAAGTATGCTAGAAGAGTCTAGCCAACAGAGAAGTCTTTTATATTATGAGTTCATAGAAAAATGTTGTAAGGAACTATGTGACTTTTTTTTCAATGAAATATTTTGTTATATCTCTCCATTGTAAACTCCAGAACAGTATTTGATAATCAATGCTATTTTTAGCACTTCTCATCAAGGCACCACGGGCACTTGATTGTGTGTCATGTCCAAGTTGATGCCCTCTGCGTTATGTTCGTTCATTCGCCGTTGACCATTTAGTCCTGCCTTCCCCGTTGCAGAATGGCCTCGCCGACAAGTCCAAGTTGATGTTTCCTACCTTGTCTGTATGTAGCACCTGGCTTCATTTGCACTTCCTCTGCTTTCAATAAGCTCTGCTGGGAGATGAGAGGATTTATTCCCAGGCTGCTTCTCTCTGAATCTGTGAGTTTCACTTTCAGGACAGATTTTTAGTGACTTCAAGTGTATTCTGATTAATAGATGTATTTTGATTGCTCTGATATCATTTATCAGCTTACTGTTCTGTTTGGACTTGTAGACATGCTCTTGGTTCTGTCCCCTACTTTTCCGATGGGGACAGGCATTTTCTGTCAAGGGCCAAATAGAAGGTATTTCCAGCTTTCTGAGTCATACAGTCTCAGTCCTAACTCAACTCTGCCCTATAAAATACTCTGTTCTTTTGACCAACCGGTGATTTCTA